GTAGTGCATAGCCCCATATTGTTATTGTGGATGAACTGTTCCGAACGAGGAAGTGCTGAGAACATCCGTCTCGGAATACTCTAGCCACTTAATCAGCGTGATTGTCATTCCACCGCACAAGTGATTACTATCACTACTTTAAACTCTGCCTTGCGTGAAGTATTTTATTCCAAGGTGAGACGAGGAGGACTGCCTTTTTTGCTCCCGTTTGACACGACATCAATCATGTGAAATACGAAAAAAATTCTAAAGACAAATGCAGCTTTAACTCTTCCTCCTCCTCCCTCTTCTCCTTCTTCTGCGATCTTTCACCTTCTATGCGTGGCGAATCCTATCACGTCTTATTTTCTGCCGTTAAACTGTGCTTATCATCTACTAACAACCTATTCTACTGTTGCTAACTTACTTTTTAAATGATTGTTTCTCCTTAATTTCGAGTATTTTACTCCTTCTCCAACTCTCTCGCACAAGCAGGTCAACCAGCAGGGGAGACGTGTGACATTTGATGAGGGTTCCCATAAAAATCCGTCCCAGAAATTCTACGCGACTTTTACCTGAAATAAGAGGCATTTTCATTGCGATCCAGCTTCATCACATCGTGTCACCACTTTCGCGATCCTGTCATGCAGATGGGTGTTGCTATTGTGGTTTTGGTGGCCAGCGTAGAGAATAGTACATAACAAAGACGACTACTGAATCGAAGTGGGGACGGGGGTTTAATCCACTTTGCTTTCTTCGTCAATCTGTTAAAGCCTCCAACCACTTTGCTTTCCTGTCCAATCAAAAATGACTTATCCACCAGACAACTGCTTCTTACAGTTAGGAAAGAGTAGTCACTTTTCCAATCATCAAATCATTACTTCTAATCACAAAGATGTCTTTATTGTTCAACCACAAATTTAGGGTGCCACTTACTTGTTAGTGTGTCCTGCCTGTAAATGCATGAATCTTCGTGTCTGAAACGGTTTTTCAGTACAGTAAGATAAATTATTGGACCCACAAATCACTTCCCAAACCCCTACTCCCCTCGCCCCGCCTATGACACGTTCCAGTGTGATTGGGATTCCTTCCACTGGATAAACGAATGCGTCCAACTGACTCCGAATTTAAGCCACAGGAACAGAAGATTCTTGAAGATCTCATTGATTTTCACCCTCATTAGTTGAAGCACTCGTCTGACATTAGCCCAATTTTCTTACCCAATCAGACGTTAGTTTTGATCTTTTCGACGCAGTTTATTGGTGGAGAACAATGTAAACAGGCTCGATCGATAAATCTCCGACTCAAATCTTGATGATTGGTTACCGGAGTGATATAAAAGGGGCCATGGTCCTTTTAATGCCTTTTAGTGATGAATACTAGCCTGTCAAAGGTGATTTATTTAAAAAAGTACTCAGGACAATATTTGATCAGTCTTTTGCGATGTAAAAGGCGCACTAACGCTAGCACTGGGTTGTAAAAGACAAAACCTTCATCCCATGATTCGAACAGTAAAAACCCATACTGACATTTCATTGTTCATTACTTAAAAATGAAAATTTTTGCGGTTGTTTTAAAAAGGAAAAAAATTCTCGCTTACAACGGAACCCCATAAAAGTGATCTGCGCAGCAGTGGAAGAATGTGGAAGGGTGAAAATGGTCCTTTGATGATTTTCAAGGGTTTTCTAGACTAGCTAATTAGACCTTTAATTTGTACGATAAAAACTACTCAATTTTCACAAGGTTACAAAGTCAAAAATCTTCAAAACTCACTAAGGGCCAGAAACTATCAAAACGACCACTCGGCATGGTTTTGGGGATGGGGATATAAAACGGATAATTTTCACCGGAAAGTGGACAGAAAATTATCCTAAAATTCAAACAGTGAAAAATTCTAATGTAAGTTAAATTGCTAAGATAGTGAACTACTATAAAATACTTGTTGAGCTTAAGATTTCCAGTATTTTGTGATTATCTTTTTTTAATTTCAACTCAGTCATCCAAAATTGCAGGCCCAAAAACGAACAGTCTGCCTCAACAGTAGGATATGCCACAATGAGCAATATCTCGTACTGATTGGTCAACTGCTGCACACGCGAAGCTACACACTAGCAGCTGATTGGTTCACACACCTCTGCGGACAGTATAAGATGCGAGTGACACTTTTTTCGTGCAGCAAAAAGATGTCAGCAGGAGTTAGAGTCATTCTACCTCTCGCGGTCCTCCTTATTCTCCTTTTCGCCCGCACTCGTAGTCAGTTGACATGGAAGGGCGGTTTGAAGTACCTGGTCAGCCCTCCCTTCAAAAGTCATCATCAGATGCAGCAAGAAAATGGTTACGACAACGATGTCAGTATTAGCAATGGCCCCCGAGACGACTTAAATTTGGAGAAGCTGGTTCAAAAACCCACAGGTCGATGGTGGTAAGTTCCAGATGCCTCCTTTTTCAACTGGATCCAAAAATAGGCAAAAATTTACTACCAAATTGAGCTAGATAACAATATTTCGTTTCAGTAACTGACACAACCATTTAGCAGGCAATAAGAGGCACCGAATGGTGTCTTTACGCTCACGTTTCCACAGAACTAAATTCGTGAGAATTTGGTGCTTTGTTATTTTAAGGTGGTAAGTGATTCACAGGCAAGCCACCTTTGGGCATCCATTTGAGACGAGAGAGTGAATAACCAAATAAACTTTGCATTCCTATTTAGCAAAAAAAACTCAAAATTCATCTATTTTTTAGGAGTCTAATTAACTAAGGACTCTGAATGTGGGGGTTACTAGTAGCCTTACTTAGAAGTAAGTAGCATTTTTCAACAAATTTTCCATACGATTTGAGTTGTAAATTTTGTGCAAATGTGACCCTCATAAGAAAATCACAAAAATGCGAGTTTTTATGTGAATTTTCGCTCACAATAGAGCAATAAACCCTGTGCTCAGATTGCACTCATTTGACCCTCATCATACTGGTCTGAAACAGGCAAAAGGAGAAGCAGAAGAAAATACACATTCAAAATCACTACATAGCCTGAAATCCTCGACTCAAAGATTGGTGGGATGACAATGAATTGTGCATCGCAAAAAAAAGACCTCAGCCTCAACTTTACGTCCGCTTAGCTAGATGAAGCCAATTTCGAAGCAATTAGGGAAGCGAATTCAAGACCATCTATTTAGCCAACTTCCGAGATTCCATCCATTTAGTGACTGCATGGGAAAAAACAAATTTGCTACGCTTTCAAATCCACTTTCATTCTTCAGGTTAGATTCGCTGGCCCGCCTACTCTACAATCATCCTCTGCATCTCTCGAAGTACGTACGAGAAATCTCCATTCCATCAAGGGAGTCTTTGAACTACGAAACACCGCCAAGTCTTCTAAACTTTCCACGACTCCGATCGCGATCGTCAAATTCACCAATTATGGAGGTGGGTACATTTTGAGGACCGAAAAATTCCCAGACATAAATGAGGCGCGCTGATTATGACCGGTGATAAAGCCTTAAAGGAGGGCAGTAATTTTTCCCCTTTGTACTTTGTGTGAGGTGATTGGATGCGAAAAAAAGGATAACCGCCTCAAGGAGCATCAAGGCGATTGATGGGTGGACAGATGAATTGAGAAATCCATCAAAATTTTATGGCAGAAATAGTATAACAAGTCAAATGAATTCGTCCATATTTTTTTTTTGAGTCGAAGAATAGCAAAAAGTTAAAAAAATTAAAATATCATTTAAACCTGAAAATGGGATGTTGGTGATAGGAAATTAGGCCGTTAGATCTTAAAGTTATTTGCTAAAAATGCTAAATCCTGATAAATTAGGGGCAAAGTGCATAAATTTTAGTTTATAAGTTAATTTGCCTTTTTAAAACTTATTGAACAAAACTTAGCAAATTCAAGACTTTTTGGCGAATCTAGAAACAATCGGATCTTCACTACTAAATCGTAACATCTCTTCCAAAAGGCGTTTTTAGAAAATTCGGATTCATAAAATAATTTTTAGTTGGAATGAGTCACCACAAATGCGAAATAAATAAACAAGTTTTAAATCACTCTCATTCACGTCAAACAGAAAGTTTTAGCTACTGGAAAATGATTAAGTAGCACTGCTTTGTCCCTGTCATTGCAGACTAGAGATTGGCAAATGTACGACCAGGTATGGGCAGTTCACAAACTTCGACAACTCCTCGCCAGCTATCGTCAATGGTTTTCCCCTCGACAATGGAAGCAGTTCCTGCACAAAACGCCTCCACAACAGCCATCCTCACAACCCCAGGAGGAGTCTGTCCACTTGGAACTACTTGAAGCTGCTGTGCAAGGCGTACGTGCAGCTGTAGCTGAATGTCAGCACCAGTTTAGAAATGAACGCTGGAATTGCAGTGAAATTATCTCCGACAAGAACGCTCTCTTCGGCAATATTCTTTCGAAGGGTGAGTAATTGATACCTGGGACATCCAAGATTTGGAAGTAGATCCGGATTTTGACATTTTGTACTCATTTGTGACAGGTGTGCCAGAAACTGCCTTCGTCTACGCTCTTGTCAGTGCCAGCGTGGTTCGTTCCGTGTCTGAAGCTTGTCTGACAAACCTCCGCAACTGTCCGTGCAACAATCGTGGACGAGAATCTTTTGAGGGCGGCTATGACATGGTAAACTGGCAATGGCAAGGCTGCGATCACAATATCCATTTCGGACGACGTTTCGGGAGATATCTACTAGATCCTCTTGAAGCTGGCGGCTTCCACATCCGATTTCTTATGAATCTACATAATTATCGTGTTGGAAGAAGGGTTGTTGCAGAGAACATGCAACGGTACTGTCGATGCCATGGAACTAGTGGATCCTGTACTCTGAAGACCTGTTACCGACGGACTCCGTCAATGCGTGTTATTGGAAACCAGTTGAAAGTCAAATACGAGCAGGCTTCTCAAGTCATGCGAGGTTAGTTATCCCTCAGTCTCAGGGAATACCATCTACTGAATCTATTTGAGTAACAGGCTTTTCCAACTTAGATAACACCCTGCCAGTTAGTTGGGGTCACCATGGGAGGAGCAGTCCCATCGTCCATCTAAATCGGTGGAATAACCAGAGAATCCTTCGAGAAGTGGACCACGATTCCCTGCTTTACCAAGGTGGATCCACGTCTCGCCCTCCCTCCCTCCTCAAAGTCAGTTTTGATAGGTCAGGAAGAGATCAAAAGCCCACAACACAGGAACTGGTTTTCTACGAACAACCGGCTAACAATTTGTTCTGTGAGCCCAACCCAAACCTACACATTCTTGGAACACGAGGAAGGACCTGTAATTCAACCTCTTCTGCATCAGACAGCTGTCGGTTATTATGTTGTGAACGGGGCCATCGAACAAAGCATTACTATGCACTGGAGAATTGTGAATGCAAATTTGTGTGGTGTTGTAGAGTGGAATGCCAAAAGTGTCTGGTCCTGAAGAGGCAGGAGACCTGCATGTAAATCAGCTACTCCAAGAGATTTCACCTATCACCCCACGAATCGAAATTCAACCATCATTTCGACCATTCAAAACGCCCACATAAACTCATTCACCTACTCATTGATTATTTACTACACCCTAATTTATATTTGCTTCGAACCTTTTTTGTACCTCCTATTGATGCACTGATGTATGACTACCGCTACTACTGATAATGGCCCAGCGATTACTAGTAGTATTTACCTCCGTGGAATGAACATATCACAAAAGATTTTGAAATTTCAATGGACTTTCAAGTCTCATTAATTCCTCTTGGGTCTGGGAAGGAGTTAAAGATTTTGTAGATTTCATACCAAAAGTTTATAACCTCGAGATCGGCAAAAGGCTGCTGACGCAGTTTAGTGCAGTCAGTCTCCAACCCTGGAACAGAAGACATCTGTGTTTACTGAGAGCACAAAAATGCACCCCCGTCATCATGTGTAGGCCTACAAGAGAACGACAGATGGTAGAAGGCCAGCAACATTTGTCTTTTCGGTCTTTCTTTGAAGTTGGCGAAAAAAATTATTTATTTAGATGAAAGGCTCAGTGACCTTCGAGATTCTTTTCCGGAAAATCTGGAGCACATAAATTTGTTTTGGCGGAAGACCGACTAACTTAACTTTATTCTATACAGAAGTAGGTAAAGGAACTTTGAGAAGAGACATATTTCGATGGCGGTGCGCTGAAATACTCCTCAAGTAGAATATCTCGTGCCGCTTCTTTATAAAAACCAAGATAGTTGATGTGTTTTGTTCCCCCGATTTGGAATCGACTAAGTGGGAGTGATGATGTACATCTTTGCTCTGTATCGTTGACACCGGGGGGGGGGGGGGGAGGCCGGAGGCGTCTTCCTGTCCGTGCTGTTGATGTGCTGGTTGGTGAGACATCAGCTAGGCGCTAGCTGGGTCTCCGTGGGGTGGATTGGTTGGGTTGTCGTACAACATCCACCTGGAAACTGTCCCTGCGGCCAGACTGAACCAAAGTTGACCAAGTGATACTCGGTTGCTACTATTTGGTTCCACAAGGAGGGGTTTATCCCGACCATGATCAGGAGACGAGTAAGGATGTCCAATTTGGTTGACGATTGTAAACCACAAATAAAGACGAGGTGTTTGACTCGACTCTTCCTGTGTGAGCCTCATTAACACAGCAAAGACTGCTCACCGGAAGTGTCTCTCAGTAATGGCACAGCCTCGTCGAAGTTCATGCACTTTGGAGACTTGGGGAGAATGGAGTTTGTACACTTCCGGTGTTCAGCTGTTTGGAGTTGCCGTTGAAAAAGACGAACCTTCCATTCATCATCGATGCCAATGAAATCAAATAGAAAAGCATCCTCCTACCTGTCTAACTGGAAGATCAAAAGTAGAAACGGAATTGGAATCAATGTGGACCTCTGCGATGCTGCTTGCGTTGGAGATCAATAGATTGGCACCTTTGGTCCTGCAGCTGCGTAGAGTTTGCAGCACAATAAAAACTAGAACGATTTCGCAGTAATTTCTGCTAACGTTTGGCAGTTTTAAATTTTTAAATGGATTTTCTACCAACTTGAAGTCTGGATGATTTTTGCATCCGTAAGAAAGATAGAAGAATATATCGGAGGGTTCCTGACCTAGTACTCAAATCGGTGGAAGGTACAGTAAATACAAACGCCTTACTTCCTTACAGTGATTAGAAAAAGCTTGGATCCACCAGTTTCTCTTCCATAGGAAAAACTAAAGACAATCCTTCTGATCTTTAAGAAAGTTAAGTCTGGCTAGTTTCACACCCACGTGGGAAAGGATGTAAAAGATATCAAAAGTTTTGCGATTCAAAAAATAGTTCATATCAACGGTAGTTGTCATTCCAGACAACCCTCCCAACCACCGATCATGCCTGGTGAACAGCTAGACCTGACATGGCTTTTGCAGAAGGATGAACGCCATTTCGGCATAATGTGAGGCTCCATCGAAACGTGGCCAGTCATTTACCCAATATTCCCTGGCTAAGCCGATTTTACATCTCAAAGCACGACATGTCATCGGGACATAGATACAAGCACGCGTCGAAGGAATGCCATGGCCTAGCATGAGATGGCGAGGCGAGGCAAGGCAAAGCAAAGCAATGCAACGCAAGTCGCCACATCAATCAAACTGCCGCCTCGGGAATTGGGGAGACAGCGAGCCCAACCCAGCGAATTGATGAGGGTTGGCGTACGGGGTGGTTGGCCGTCTCTTACACAAAGCGGACCCAAAATACCAGGCGTAATTGTCTCTGTTCGACCCCCAAAATGTTGATTGTTGAGTGCCTTCAAAGTGTGAGGCGATAAGAGGATCGTTTAAGGCTATCCAATGCGATGCTTGTTGGGCCACAGAACAAAGGCCACTTCTAATCAGTCAACAATCCTTCACCAACAGTGCATAGGAAGGAAGTGAAGAACGTCAGCAACAAACTGGTGGTCTTTAAAGCTTACTGTCTGTCACCTATCAGTGCAAGACATCTGGGTGAGGCGATTGGATTTGTGCCTTTCTCGACTTGTCCCCTCCGTAGATGCAGCTGCCAACGAACTGCTCCATCACTCACTTGGAACTTCACTGAGGTTCCTTCTTGACACGGTAGTAATAATGGATACCTGACTGACAGCATCACCAACCATTTGTTGACTGTTTGGATATAAAAATCAATCCTTGACCCATTGGTTCCAATGACCCAAGTTTTCTGGCTCATTCACAGTCTGCCATGTCAATTTACCGTCCTTCAATGCTGATTGACAGAGAAGTAGAATGACTACCTTAATGACCTTACCGGTGATGTGGAACAGATGACAAAGGGTAACAGGACAGGACTTTCCCACATTCTGCCTTCCAGACAGAGGAGCACGCATCCAACGCAACGCAATAATCAAAGTGTCGCCTTGGGAAATGATCAGTCGAGGTAGAGATGCTTCTTCTTCAGGTCTATACATAGTGCAGCCTAGTAGTCAACCGACAGGACGAAACCGTCAGAAAGTAGTGAAAATAGTTAACTATGGAATAATCGATTTTGTCGGACATCCGTCCATCCAATATCTGCGCACCCATGATAACACCTGCCCATCCACTCATCCATCCGTCGTGCTTTTCTGTCTTCGACTAAAGCCCGACATGGCGCAGTGGAGCCAGTAACCCGACACATCAACTCACGGGCTGTTTGACGCATAACACAGCGCACAGGCCGATGCCTCTGACAAACTCATCATAACCTCTGGAACCCCCTTTTTTTGGAAAGAGCCCTGTGGTCTTTCTTCATTCTGCGTGGCTGCCGGGATTCATCCCACCCACTTAGAAACGTCGCCACGGGAGATGAATTCGCGCTCCCGGCAGACAAACAAGAGATCGTTCCTTCCTCTCTACTAAACCGGGGGGATAACTGGCTCGTCGTAAAGTAGTCACATGATACTGACAGAACCCGTTACTCTTCTACCCGAAAAAACGCTTTCGTTGTCAAATACGTGTTCCCGGAGCAGCAGTGTTAGACGGGGCGAGGATGAGGGGAGCTTACGAATTGAACCTACGCCTTGGCACAGTCAGTAGTCTGAGCCTCAAATCGCCCTCCTCATCCAACTTTTGTCCACGAGCAAAAGCACTCACCCCATTCACGGATTATCCATCAACCCGCGGATCGGTCTCCGTCCTGGATCCATCTCTCCCTCACCCCTAGAAAAAAAATAACTTCATTCATAGTTGATACTTCGGTTAAGGGTTCGCGTTAGGTGACACTTGACCTTCAGTGGCCCCCAATCGATCCACCCATATCAAAAGAGACACCTCGGCATCTTACTGTATTTCACTTCATTCCTTTGGATTTCTCACACCACCAACACCACCACCTAGGATCTTTCACCTTCATCTCGCCTACTGCGAGGGGACCAGCGCGACAGAGGGTAGAGCAGAGCACAGAAAGGAGGCGGAGAAAAGGGGAGAAGTAAACGAACAGCACCGACTGTTGTCTGCGGCAGAATGGCTATTTACACTGTGACGATGGCGGGCGCGAATTGGGCGACGGACAATTGAAAAGCCTCCTCACGTGGGCGAGTACTGCTCCCGCACCAGCTGATCCTCAGTCGCCGCATCGGTCACGTAATTGGCCATGCTTGGCTCGGTGAGGAGTTGCAGATCGTTGGCTGCGATTGGCACAAAGAAGGTGGAGGCGGCAGTGTCGGTGATGGTTGCGGAGGCATCAAATTTGGCGCTTTTGGAGGGCGGAGGACAGGCGGAAGAGCTACTCCACAAAGACGTTCCTGTCGTTGTCGTAGGCAGTGGTGGCAAGGGCGGCGAGGCGGTGCAGGCAGAGGAGGCGGCGAGGGAGGAGTCGAGGGGGCGTTTTTCAAGACGGGAGAGCAAATCGACGGCCATGCTGAAACTGTCTCGACGGCCCTCCTGTTCTGGAGAGGCTACGAAAATACAAGTTGTTACTAAACGAATTTAAGTAGCAAGTTTGCCCCTCCCCCAGGGGGTTTACATCTGCACTTGCAGGAGAAAAGTTGCATAGGTCGTGAAAGGCAAAATAAAAAGACATCAACGTTTCTAGTTTACCGGTTACTTTTTCCTCGGAAAAAACCAATTCATGACACTGCATTCGGTATAATAACGCGAGAACCATTCCGAAAGCGTCGCGCATATATGACGCAGGTTATTTAACTTTGGTTTAACCAAATCGTGTGTCGCAAGACAGCTAGTCAAATCTAGAACCAAGTAGGGTGGATGCCTCCTGTTCTCGACGTGAGAGTAAACACGCTTTTCAGTGACTTTGCGGCATAACCTAAAGTGGAACGCCACCACACTCTCATTGGGCTCGGTGCGAGTCGAGTTTTTGCGGCAATTTTGGCAGCGAACATGCCACCACCACTTTTAAAATCCTAGTTTTTTGACACAGGAAACACTTTGTCGGACACGAGGGAACAAGTGTTTGGTAGTCATTGGGACCTGTTGAGAGAAACAGTTTCCACATTTTGCGTATTCTCGATACAATTTTGGATCCAATCAAATAGCTGGTGATTTTTGGACAAAAGGAGGACAAGTTTTTACGGTAGACAATCAAAAATGGTCTTAAAAGCGGCAGGCCTCTCAAATGCGAGGTTAAGACTGCTTCCTCAGTGATAGGGTGAATTTCCCTCGCCATACTTCCCTCTCGTCCGTGGAGTCTTGACATGCATGAGTGGAGTCGAGAAGTCGGAGCATGACCGAGTGAATGCAGAGTACGTCGGACACCCACTCGGTCACCGCCACGACCACAAAGAGTACAACAGGGAAGAAAGTCATGATCGGGCGATAGAGCTCAACACTTTCAAAGGTTTGATCTAAAGCGTAGGTTAGGCGTCCCTGATACATTTTTGACAGGGGTCAAGTTGTATTTATGCATTTTGTAAGGCTGTGAGATAAACTTTTCGCAAACGCCTAATCGGAGTAAACTCACACACAAAAGGTTAATTAAGCTGTTCCCAGAAGTGACTAATTCAAGAGTTAGTTTATTAGTTTTTGATAATCATTGTTAATCCTCCTCAGATTCCAGTTTAGTCTGGATTATTCACCCCTCACCAACGAGATACGAGCTTGCTGCCAACTCTGCTTCTATAAAACGTTTCTTCTGGGGCCAAATAATCAAATCTAGCTACTCTCTCCTCTCCCACTCAATTTCTGCCTTCCCTTCCTAACCCATCCCCCCACCCTCCTCTCTCTCCTCCCAATTGGCTAATTTATTGCGCAACTGGTAGCCACATGATAGGCGAATACAAAACGCCAGGAGGGCTGCTAATTACTGGGAGAAAAGGTCAGGAAGGTAAGAAAAGTGGGACGGTAGTTTTCACCCTCTCTCATATTAAAACGGAATAACTTGTTACGAAAAAGTTGGCAAACGGCGGACTTTGCCACCTTACTGTCACTTGAATACCAACTCACCAGTAAGAAAAAAAAAAACGCAATTTTTTAGTAGTCTTAAATACTCACGTCGTAGTCATGTGACAGAAACGCATAACCCACGCACTGCATTTTGAGAGAGTTAAACAATCCTTAGTTGACCTCTAAACTGAAATACTGAACGCCAAAACCGTCAACTCCCTGCGTTCTGCTGTCTCCATTGTCACCTCAACACTGCCTTCACTTTGCCTTCAACAGTGTCCACCACCGCTGGGGCGTTGGATCGCCTCCATCTCCAACGTGGCGCAGGTGTCCGTGTGACCAGAGTGTACTGCACTTTCAGCTACTTGACTATTCCGTTGATGTTTCGAACGCCGTAGTGAAAGGCGCTAGTCTCCGCTAATCTCCGGTTCTTGATGACAGAGATTGACGATCTAAAAGCGATCCGAGTCTCAACAATCCCAATCCCCCATTTCTAATCACATTGAGAAGAAACCTGCCCCTCCAGCAGGCTCCTTTATCAATCACAGCAAACCTTGGTGTCACTGCTCGAAAAGTCCTGCTACTACTTTGTTCATTCTTCTACTTCACTGCACAATAAAGATGTGCATCCACCTCACCCATCTATCCTTCCTTCTTTCCACTACATCTACTTTGGCTCCTTCACATTATCCACCAATACCTTGATCAGAAGAAATTTGAATCTCCCACACAAACCACCAAAGAACATGTCCTCTGAATCGCTAACGCTGGCAAGATTCAAGAGATCAGAACTCAAATCTCTCATCTGGGGTCGTCATCAATGCCAATCTTGAGAAGTCCAAGCTTCTATGCCCATTGTGCCGTAATCCATTCAAAAATTAATTCAACTCCTTCCTTGTGATTGAAAAAAATGTTCTCAGAAGTTTTTTCCTTAACCCAGCCACCAAATAAGCCTTCTGACATCATGTCATGTGACTGAGATATTGTGAAAATCAAAGAATGGATTTTCATGCGGCACCACCACCACTAGCGACGTTGAATCGTTTCGTTGGGCTAAAAAATCGTCATTCTAGAAAATTGTAAATCACTACTAGAAGAACCATTGAAGAGTGGCTTGTGTAGCCTTGCCGGATTCCAGGGCTCCTGGAAACGACTATCAAATGGATAACTAAAACAGTTTCACAAATGAAATTTACCAAAATCACCATTCCTTGATCAAGGTCTTCATTTGAGTGACTCGAGTGATTCTTAACTACGCAAAGACTGCCGAATCCCTCCATCAAAGGCTGACGGGGAGGATTTCGTTTCGAGGGCTCCTTAACAAGACCTTAGCGTCCTCGATTCAAGGAGGAGGGTTGTCAGAGTGGAGTCGTTGAGGCGCCTTCAGATCCAAATCGCTCTATGCTGCTTTACTCAGTATCAGCGTCACATATAAGTGACGCGTATATTTCGTCGATTTACGTTAATTTTGACTGAAATCCTATGTCACAAACAGGCGTTTCAATTTTAAGGCGCAACAAAGTAAATGTGGTGATAATAAACATAATTTTTAGTCTCGAAGCGGCACGACTTAATAGAAAACGTAGCTTTTGTGAGCTGTAAAAGAATAGTCGATTTTTCATGAAGATTATTGCAGCTAACTTATGAAATCCGATTATCACATGTCAGAGCCTTGTTTTCATGTTCTGTTTACATTAACCTCCGTGGCTCGGTAGGAAGATGAAAACTGTAGGGCCTTTTGATACCCTCGCAAATGAAAAGTTGATCCGCTATTGTCAAAAGGAGGAAGCGCTGCGATCCCGTCCAATCCCTCTTTTTCGCACCCTAAACAAATTTGACACTGAACGATGGAAAGACTAAACACGCCACCGAGGGAAGGGAGGGGGTCACTCTGTTTCATACGCATCTAGGTCAGTTCGGTAGTAGAGAAAAAGTGCCCCTTGTTGAGGTTACTCGCCACTATTTCATTCACTAATTAGATTTTTTTCAAAAAAACAAGGCAATGCTTCGCTAATCACATTTACCTTTTATGTGTTCCATTTGGAAGAGAATTAAGCAAGCTACAACTAGATCACGTGAGACAGAACTCGTTTTCCCCCCGTAATAAGTGGATGTACCTCTTTTCGTGTTGTTTGCACCTATTTCGTGGTTTCACCACTAAACTAGCATTTCCACTGGCTACGAATTTGCACACAAGATTCAACATCCAGTGCGGCTATCGCCTACTGAAATACAGATGGGTAGAAAGCCAAATGATGTGCTGCTAGGTCCCTTCAACATATCCTACCTAGGCTCTTCACCGCAAAGATGGATTTCAGAGATCATGCTCCATCCAATGATAGTTGTGAGTGGAATTTGGTGAGCCCCCGAGGCACCCTGAATCCACCATGCAATGGTCAAGCATATAACAGCTCCATGGGAGAGAGATGATGATGGAACACGATTCCTTCGCCTTTGATGGTACTTATATGCGTAAAAGTCGTGCTGACACCTTGTTTGCACGATACCAATGTGTAAGAGCAGCTGGCGTGCCAAACAGTTGCAGTCACATGACACCCTGACCAGGAGTAAATACCACTCTACTGCGGTTCCCAAGGCAGTATTTGACACGTGACCCTCTTCCTCCCACTGGAGGTGGAGGGAAATAGGCTTTCAGGCGATGGGCATGGAGGTCCTTCCCTTTCTAAAACCCTAAACGCTCATATAATGCCAACAGGCGGTAGTACTCCTCTTTTGACCTTTGCTACTGGATTTCAGAAAAACTCATCCGTCAGAATGTTTTGGTAATTACCGACGAAGAACTAAAAGAAGGAAGCACTGTTTCCCCCCCCCCCCCCACCCCTAAAAACGTGGTCAAGAAACGAGTGTGTATGCTCATCCCAGACGTTGCCGCATCCCTATCACGTAAAATTTCCCCAAACGGGGCATTACTTAGACCGCTGCGCGACCAAGTGGATACAACCCAGTCTGTATCAGCATAGCAGGCAGTGTGAACTTGCCAATGTCCTCACAAAGCAGACCTTAAAACTTTGACAGATGGATTCGGGAAAATTCGTATTTTAGGGCCTGCTACTGACTTAGCAAGTGGGTTCCGTTTTCACAGAGATCAGAAGCCTAGATTTCGTGAATTCAGTATAGTATGAAGGGAATTAATTTTTGAAAGGCAAGAAGATAGAAAAAAGGAAATTTCCCTTACAAAAAACCCCAATCAGTTCAAAAAAGGGAGAAAGGGGGCAGTTAAACCTGCAGAGAAATAGAACAGGATTTTGCGGTGAGAGGAAATTCCCAACCCCAGTCTGGTGTGAAGGTCGTCACAGCGACCCGAAGGAGAGGTCATGCTCACAGTGCTTCTGTAGGGCAGCCATTCCCAGCCGATTGGCAACAAGTTGCCGAGGCAAAAAAACCCTTTTTGCCCCTCGGTATTTTAAAAGACTGAGCGACAGCGGGCTAAATTCGTCGCCCAGAGAGCAGTTAGGCCTTTTTCCCTCAACAAAACCTTGGAAACTGCATAACCTTTTAGCCATAATGTAATTGCAATGTGGGAGATGTTGGATTAGTCAAATCCAAAAAGGAAAAAAACCTCGCAAAAGAACCGCTCCCCTCAGTACCGCAGAAAAGGGGAGCATAGCCGCCTTTTTTTCTGTGCCAAACTGTCGGAAAAAAAGGAGAAAAAACGGTTACACTTGAGATCGACAAATGCTGAGAAAAAAACAATCGCCCACACACACCTTAAATTGTCGAGTAAATCACCTTCAGGATGTTGTATGGAATTTCCGCCATACTAAAGGGAATGGAGGACGATGAGTTGAGGTAGTTGCAAAACCAGTTTGAGCTTTTTAAAAACCACAGTAAAACCGGATCTTTTGGGGGATCAGAAATCCTCACCGAGGAAATGCAGGAATTTCTAATTCATAACTCGGCAGGGTGAAAAGCAACATGAAGCCCCCGGCAACATCGAGGAGATCAGAGGCGGTCGAACGTGAAACTTTCCAAATTTCGTGAGACATCCCTCCTCCTCCGTCTACTACCAGCCAAACGGGTGGAAGACAGAATCTTGGTTACAACAAGAAGCCTCATTTTAAAGCATCTCAAAAGACTGGAAAAATGCGTTGATTGACTTTCAATGAACTCAATTGATGTTTGAAAGGATTGGGATAAATTCAAAGAAAGCATGAGTTGTCACCAAGATCTTTTGGTTTTTTTTCACAATGATAATAAAGTTAGTTGACTGTGAAAGGCGTTAACTGAGGCAGAAAAAAATGATTGGTTGTGTTTGTGAACTCCACTTTTCTCCAACTCCCAGCCCAACCAAGGTGACTTCGAGAGGAAAATTTTACTTTGTGCTAAAATGTTAAAAAATCGGAAAAAATGAAAAAAAAGTGAATGTCTAGAGACACGCAAAAATGGGTTTCGTGTGAAAATCTCAAAACGTGTAAATGTTTATTTCTGCGAAGAATTGCTTTGAAGAGTTCATACATGAACAAAAAATTAACTCGCTGACGGGAGACTGGGATTATCGCCGGTTTAGTGTGAGAATTTTTGTTT